CGGGCAAAAAGGGAAAGTTTGGCAAAGCGTTCGCCGCCGGACACAACGCTAAGTTCGGTGCCGTCAAGACGTTCGGTATGTCTCAGGGCTTTAAGTTCGGAAAGGCTGGCGGCGGGTTCGCTGCCGGGGGCGCCGCCGGTGCCGGTGGCAAGAAGTTCGGCAAAGCAGCCGCCGCTGCGGCCGCCGGCGGTAAAAAGGCCGCCACAGCCGGTAAGAAAGGTTTCGCGGCCGCAGCCGGTGCTAAGGCCGCAGCGAAAGCCGGAGCCGCTGCCAAAGCTGCCGGCGCTAAGGCTGCCGCCGCTGGAGCTAAAGCCGCCGCCGGCAAGAAGGCGGGCACTGGAGGCGGTCTATTCGGTTAAGCGCTTGTATGACAGTATTTTGGCTCAAATTATCTTTTATTTGTTAATACTTTTTGTTAATTTTTAAGATTATATTGTTTAATAGTAAAAATTCACTGTTTTATAATTCATAGATATATTAATGTATATAAAAATCGATGGCCTGGAAGCCATGTTTTATGAAAAATTTGTAAATATTTTATAAATATATGTTTATTTAAAATAAAATGTTATTACTTTATTAAACAAGTTTTAAATTATTTTACAAGATTATTACAAAGATTTACAAAGTTATTAACTGCAATCACATTAATTTATTGGCTCAATAATTTATTGGGTGCCGCCCTCTCCTATACATTACGTACAGTATATCACAATCAAAGCATATTTTTCTGGCAGTATACACAGGCAGGGGGCATAATAAATGGTGACATTATTTATGTACACTCCAAAATATCACTAGTAAAGTTAATACAGAGCCAATAAATTATTGAGCCAATAAATTAATGTGTTTGCAGTAAACAAGATTAAGTAGTAATTTTTGTTAAGAAATAGTTGTATAAGTTTTTAAAATTAAAATTATGTTCATTTAATGTAATTTAATATACCTTTACACTTTTTCAATTAATTCCTTACGTACTTTCCTGTTGTCTGTATTCACATATCTATTACCAAATATAAACAAATGGTTACTGAGAAATAAGTGACAAATATTTTTGTCTACTTGTCTGTAATCAGTAATTAAAATAAAGTATATAAATAGTATTAGATATTGAAATAATTATCAAAAAAAATTAGTTGTGGCTAACAGTTAAAATAAGAGCAAATATTGTGATAATTTAACTTAATATTTAATATATTAAAACTATTAAGTTTAAATATAATTAAAAATGCTTGGTGAATTACTGTTGGCATTGTTAGTAATACTACCGGACAGTGAATTTCAAGTTGTGGGGAAGAGATCACATGAAGTATCAAATCCTGAATCCTTGGATCAGTTGGCCGTCAATGCAAACAATGAGTTTACGTTTAGTATATTCAACACATTAGCAAAGGATGGAAACGATGTGTTGTCTCCCATTTCAATACTTTCCGCATTAAGTAATGATAAATTAAATGTTATATTTTACTAACAGTTTTAATTAATAGGTATTCTTATGAACGGAGCAAACGGTGAAACACTTAAAGATTTGAAACAATTCCTTCGTTACAAGAATTCATTGACAGAATTCAGTGATGAGACCATTAATACTGCGTTCAGAGCGCTAAATAATAAATATCATAATGATGGTCAGTTTACAAATTATATTTCCGTTTAACCAATATATTATTTATTTAAATGTAAAATTTTATAATTATTTCTATTTAGATATCTTCAAAGTGAAAGAAAATAAACCAAATCAAAGTCCATATGAAATATATGATCCAAACGATTACAAACATCAACTTAATATCGCAAATAAAGTCATTCACAACAAAGATCTGCAACTATTGGACACTTTCATCAATAATATAAAAGAGTATTATAAGGGAGACATACAATCGGCTGATTTTGTCAACAATGGAGTAATAGAGACGGAAAGAGTGAATGAATGGATTCGTAATAAAACCAATAATAAGATACAGAAAATATTTGATGAAATAAAACCCGACACTTCACTCATCATTTTGAATGCCATATATTTTAAAGGTATTTTCCACGTTATAATAATTATCAAACATTTTAATTATTTGTATTAATAGGCAATTGGTTGGAAAAATTCGGGGAACACTCAACGAAAAAATTGGACTTTTATAACAAAGGGGAAAATGTGGTGAAAGTCGATACAATGGCTCAAACCGATGGATTTAATTATTATGAGTCAATTGAACTGAATTCACAGGTTTTAGAGTTACAATACGATGGAAGAGAAACAAGTTTTATTATTGTTTTACCAAAATTAAGAAATGGTTTACAAGAATTGAAAATAAAAATTAATTCACAAAATCTCAAACAAGCCATACATTCGTTAAGAAAGAGCGAAGTGGAGATATTTTTGCCAAAGTTTAAAACAGAGAAATCCTATGATTTAATGAATGAAATCAATCCCAAACCCATAGCACTGACAAATAGGGCTGATTTTTCACGACTAAATCGAGGTGTGGCTCAAAAAGTGGCCGAAATTATACACAAAACCTATATATCAGTGGACGAAAAGGGAACCGAAGCCGCGGCCGTCACTGCTATTAGAATGGTCCCAATGTCTCTACCAGTATATCCTGAGTCCTTTACCTTCAAAGCCGATCACCCATTCATGTACTTTATTGTGGATAAAACCAATGGTTTGATACTATTTTGCGGACAAATCAACGAATTATAAAAATGCAAATTTTTAAAAATAAACTGTACTCTTATTTTCTTTATTAATATAAAACTTGATGTTTTTTATAAAACCTATAAATATTCTGGAAGTTAACCATGATTTTAGATATAAATGTTTATTTAAAATAAAGTGGTATACTTAATTTAACGTATATTTAATCAATATATAATGTTATTAATAAGGGGTCGTTCTCAAAGTACGTGCGCACTTGGGGGGGTGATCGGCTCTAAAT